TATATTAAACATTAAAAGGTTATTTCCCTGATGCACATCAGAATGCATATATGCTATTATTACATACTGAACTGCAAAAGAAACGTCACCCCAGGAACATTGCATGAAAATTTGTCATTTAAATATCTAGATAATTTTTGTCAAAGTTTCTAAAATTTAACATTACCTTGTCTGGAAAAATTAAACTTGGTGATAACAAAGCAGATGACAATAAAACGGATCGCCCAAACGCATCACGGCAACGGCAATGGTAACCTGATGCACATGAGTTCTGTGCAAATTGAAATGCACATTCGTTACCCCATTTCTTGCCCTATAAAAATCCATTCAGACCGGATAACATTCATTCGTTATTGAATTGCTACCAGATGCCAAGATTGACAAGAAATTAGTGACACCAAGCCCTTGGACGATTGCAAGCTGGACAAACCACCCTGCAAGTAGCCAATGCATTTCAAGTCCACGTAAGGACCATATACAGGCTCCAGCTACAGTACCAGACCACCAACACTACAGATGACCGACCACGTAGTAGAAGACCAAGGGTTGTCAGATTGTGCAACAGCATCTTCAAGATCACTTTGTCACTGCTGCGAAAACTGCCCGACAGACCATGGGGACACATAAGTGCGGACACTATGTGACGATGACTGATGTGCAGGCACCTCCACTGTCACAGGCAACACCGAGGACCCATTCTGACACCACGTCATTGCCGGGACCGTCTTCAGTGGGCAACACAGCACCAGCATTGGCACCATCAGCAGTGGAGAAGAGTCCTCTTCTCAGACGAGAGCTGTTACTGTATCTCAACAGCAGATGGCAGACAGAGAGTCTGGCGATGCCTTGGGGAACGTTATTCGGATGCTTGTGTTGTCGAGAGAGACTCGTGGGGTGGTCCGAGCATCATGGAGTGGGGTGGAATTGGTCTTGCACAGAGGGTCAGCCCTGTGGTTCCAGAACATCAGTCCAGGGAGAGGCAATGGTGTCACAGCAGCTTGGTACATTGATCAAGTCTTGAGACCACACGCCATACCTCATTTGGCACGTCGCCGCAACCACGAGTTTCAGCATGATAACGCCCATGCCCACACTGCGAGAGCAGCAAGAGACTTCCTCCAGCAGAATGGCATCAGAACCATGCAGTGGCCTGCCCTCAGTCCCAATTTAAATATCATTGAGCACCAGTGAGACGAGATTCAAAGACGGTTGAATGACGTCCAACCAAGGCTGACAACTGCAGCTGAACTGGTTCAGGCATTCCGCCTGGGCTCAAGTGCTGATGGCCTTCATCAACAACCTCATCCATTCCATGTTTCGACGTTGCACGGCAGTCATCAATGCACATGGCGGACACACGAGATACTGACTTGTGATGCCATTTTCTCAGGGACTAGTGTTGTGTTTCACTTTAAGAACATTTGACACTTTCATTTCAACCTTGATGATCAGTTTTGCCAAGTTTCATTTTTTAATATGTCTCAAAGTATGTTTACAGTGTTTGGACAAATAAGGTTTCTCATATATCTATCCATGGTGATGTTTCTTTTGCAGTACTGGTGTATATTGAATCGCCCCAAACTTTTCTTTTTTTAATCCCAGTAAAAAGTAATAGAATTTGTACAGTACAAAGAAAGCGTAATCACCCACATTTTAAAAGGCATCGTGAATTCATCACACTAAAAACCTCCTCAGATTTTCAACAGACATCCTCTTCACTGTCAGCAATCCTAAACAATTGTTACATAAACTGTACATTGTGAAAAATGCCCCCTGAACACAGTGGAAAAAATGTTGCTTCTTTCCAATCAATACATCCACTTGATGCAGATAGACTGGGGGAGGTGGGAGGGATTACATCCTCATGTAATAGAAATGTTAAATCACAACTTGACCTCAGGCATGACTACATATAACAAACAATTGAACAATACATGACACATAGCTACACTAATTTTGTTTCTTTGTTGTTTAATGTTGCACTCTGCATTATTCCAGTTATGTGATGGCAGTCTGTAATAATCAAGTCTGGAGAAGACAATCCAGTGATTGTACTGGGATACCACATCAACGAGTCCTGGTCCATTGATGAGAAAACCTATCCACCATCTGAAGTCTCACTGAGGTGTGTTATTCTGCGTTTATGGGTTGGTTCATTAAAAGCTGCGATGGTGTCAAAGATATATAGTCCTGAAATGAAGACTGCCCAATCGTATAACACAAGAGGCCCACTTTAGGCGGCCTGCAAGATGCTCCAGTTGTGAAGCTGTGGAGCATAATGTGAAGACCTTCAGTAAGACCTTTTTTGGGTCGAGCTCCAGGTTTCCACTTCTGAGACAAGTCAATTCTGATCCCAAGGAAACTAAGTTGCTTGCAAAGGGCAATGAACTTTCTTCAAGTTGATTCCAAACCTGATCTGTCTCAACAAGTGAACCAACAGGTTCAGGGCTGCCTGAAATTGGTCCTGAGAATCGTGATCCAAAAGTCAACAAGGTATGTCACAACAGCTTTGTATCCTTTTGAACATGAGATTTACTCCCTATGTAATCTTATTATAAGATAAAAGGACTCTGGCATGCACCGAAAGGGAGTTTGGTTTCTACCATGTATGTGGCTTTGTACTGAATGCATTCTTGTCAACCTCTGCTTCCTGAATGTCACACATCTTATCACTGTCAATAATGTGAAAGCCAAATTTCAATCACATATAATTAGTTTTATTTTCTCATCACCCTCCAACATGTGTTTCCATGCAGGGAAATTTGGCGCCAGTTGGCTTAGAGAACATTCTCTCAGCAGCTGCACTGGAACTGATGTTGTTATACCTCCTTTGAGAACTAGTGAGAACTTTCTCGACTGAGGCGGAACTTCACAAAGCTGGTGACATTGATAAGGTTCAGATTTCTTGAGCGTTGCAGTGACTTGAAAGAGGCAGGGAGAGCTTTGCATGATAGTAGCTTTCCCAGATGCTGGTTTTCAACCAGCCTGCGACTGAAGCCATAGACATATATCTTTATCAACAGAGGGCTTGCAGGAAATGATATGATGCATTCTGTTGTGACAATCGTCATGTGTGACACAATGCTTAAGTGCTCCCACTGGACACAATAGTCTATCTCATAAATTCACATTACCACCAAGATCATGGATTGGATATTGCCAATGACCTATTGGATCTTCATCATGGTCTGATTTTTGGCAATGAACTCTCAATGAACCCTCAATCATACAATGCTGGAAGTTGCTGGAAGCAGAAAATCTGCTACTGTAGGAATAGCTACGTTCTCATGCTCCATATACTTCTTCCTCTCCAACACCATCATAACTGGAGCCATCAGACATTGTAGATGGTGGAGGAGGAATGTCTCCAAGACTTGAGGAAACCAGAAACCTGAATTTTGCTGAGATGGCTTCAGTCTTGTAGGTGCAGGTTGTTGAGGCTTCCGTGGAATACGTCCAATCATGGCTGACAGAGCAGATCATGATGTAGTGGGAGCTTGAGTGGACTCTATCCATCAGAGTTCCAGGGGAGATTTGCGTAAGCAAACAACCCCCCTCCCAACTCATTGACAAGGCATCCATACCAAGAGCCTGAGCTTGTGGTACTGGACTGACATAGATGTCAAGATTGTGGTTGTGGCACATCACAAGCAAGTTGAGATGGGGAGTGTCCAAAGTCATGGTTATCCACTTGAAAAATTGGGGATGTAGAGACCACTCTGTCTGGGAAAAACAGTCGACCAGGACATTTAGTTTAGAATGTGACATGCTTCCAATCAGCAGCTGAACAACTCTGCCAAGAGGAATAAAAGTATAGTCTCCTTCAACAAATGCTGTGACTTCATGCCCACCTGTCGTAGGTATGATATTTCAGTTGTGTTGTCTGTATTGCCAACAACCAACGTAACCTGACTGCCAAGTTGTGTTTTGCTAGCTAAATTGTCAATATCCGTCCATGTACCCTGGACTGTAGCACCATCCAGGTGAGTGCCTCAGCCCTATCCAGACATGTCTTTGAAGAGGTGATGATCTGGTGGAAGAAATATCAGGGGAATGCCCACTCTGACATTGAGACGGTCCATACAATAATTTAACTCGACTGACCAGACTGGTGATGTCATACAAGGGTATCGAAATTGTGGGATCACATCGAGCTCAACCAAGTTTGAAGTAGGCAAAGCTGAAGTTGACCTCTGTACATGAGGACAGGATATCCTCCATGAACAAGAAACTCTAGGGAGGACAGCAGCTGTTGTATATTCCGTTGCAGCTGCTGGTTGTCAAGATCGGCTGAGAGGAAATCATCGATATAGCCGTGCAATTTGAAAGCTGGAACTGCACAAAAAGAATCTTGTCCCGGAGCAACCTATCACTGTTTGGATAGTTCTCAAGAATGACAAGGCATGTCCCAGGTCATTTGTGGGTAGTGTAAGATTTAATTGGCGGTAATGGCTACGTGTCATTTGTGTTCGTCAAAATTTGGAAAACATATTTCAGCATTTTTCATGAAATATCAAAGAATCAACCTAATTTTTCAATAAACATTACATTCTTCAGTAAATTTTATCTTGCCGGACAGCTGATAGTTTCGTTTTCTATATCTGTGCTTGCTGGTTTCAGAGTGAGGCACAGTTTTGGTGGGAAAAGATATCAATGACAATATCCAGCCTCATTGTGATGGCTGTCCTACAAACCCAATAATGTTATGGACAGAGACCAGCAGTAATCAGACATGGGGGCAGAAAACATCTTGGACACGTCCAAGAGAGGACTTTGTCTGATGGCTTGCTGGATTTCTATGCCCCAGTAGCCATAGTTGATATAAAAGAAATGTGGACATAAGATGAGCTTCAATATCTCCGTTACACCAGTAGTAACATTTAAACTTCATCAAAACTCTTACTAATTTGAATTTCCAACAGGGAAATGAGGTAAAATAGGCAAAAGGTAACATTTATTTATTTTAGAAATGTATGGAAATTTGTTTGCATAAACATTACCTGACACTACACTTAGGTATCTGTTGATACCCCTCTGGTCATCTGCTGCTGAGCTAACAGGACAACTTGCTAGCCCTGCTGTGGCCGCAGCAAAAGCAGTTGTGGCAGCAGAAGAACTTGACCTTTAAAAAGACATATAAATATAGTAGTGGAGTAAACGTGGATATAGTATCATTTTGTGTGTTACTTCATGCTTCTATCTCGTAATATTTTTATGTCTTATTCTTTCATTTACTTTCCTGCAAGGTTAGTTGATATCTCCAAAATAGATGTTACCCAGTGACTGAGTAAGTGGGTATGGTTTTACGCCACTTTTAGCAATATTCAAGCAGTATCACAGTGGGGGACACCAGAAATGAGGTTCGCACATTGTACCAATATCGGGACTCGAACCCGGGTCTTCGGCATTTTAACCACTAGGCTACCCGACCGCCCCTTCTGTCACCCAGCTAACACCACTCTTTGCATCCTACTACTATGCTGCATGGAGGACACATCAAGTGGAATGCTTCTCAGATCATCCGTTTTTTCCACTTCAACTTCAGTAAAGATAGTTACAGAAAACCCATGAAAACAAAGGAAATGGGGGAAGGTCGGGCAACATATATACTACTATATCATAGGAGGTAGTATTACTCACACTCACACAGAAATGTGGTCATAACTAGGAATACTTCTAATAGAGGGAACCATTGTCCTTGTCTCCATTCCACAAAGTGATTTTAGACCTGAGATGATCTAAACTATGATATTTTAACACAGACTTCAGCTTCTTATACGCCATAAGCTGTACCTTGGTTTCAGATGGTTTGAATGCGACATTGCAAGAAGTTAGGTAATTTTGCATCCCTGCTTTCACAGTGCTCATGGTTGGCGCGCCTGTACCCAGTTCATGCACGTTGTGATAACTGGCATTATCAAGGACAATAACACTGGGGTTATTCCGATTTAGGCATAAGCGGGTGTTCCATCCAATGTAAGAACACCTCCCCATTCATTTCCTGATGATAATCGCCGCTAGCCTTTTGTGCCTCAAAGACTAAGTCACACCCATCAATGAGACCTTTCTCACGGGTTCCAGTGTGCAACACAATGATACGTTTACCTTTTTCAGACGGGATCATAGATGTGTTATGCTATCTGATGGTAACCACATGTAATCAGTAGAATGATTCTTGCTGACCCATGTCTCATCAAGGTAAATGATTTGGAATCCGAGACATCTGTAGTCGTGAATGGTACGCAGGTAATTTGAATTCATGGTTATTATAGAATACTTTTCCCTGAACACCCCCCTGTCAACCCAAAGTTCGGTGCATTTGAACCCCATCTCATGCAGAGCTATGATGAGCATAGTCTGTGAAACATTTATCATTTCTCTACACTAATCAGGGGTTTCCCTATCTCTCTCCTTTACACAATACGTGGAGATGTTTGCTACTATCGACACTGTGTCACGAACCATGATTGTGCTCTACACAAGCAATGCATCATGGGAGTCATATTCAAATATTACCTGATTGGAATAAACACTTAAAAATTACTTAATACTATTATATTATACCAATGCATCGCATCATTCATATAAACAGGCATTAATATACCATCAGGTTCTCAAATTAAAATTATGGGATAAAAAACATATTTGTATAAATCTACAGTATGCTTCATTCATACTTTCCTTCATTGGACTCGACAAAATAATCAAAACTCTATTTTGGATGAAAATCCCTCCTGTAAAATTGCAAATAGAACTGAGGCATATTTAAATTACTGAAACCTGACCTAGGACGAACCTTTTTAATGAGGAATTTTCATAAAACATATTTCAAATTGTTTATATCTGTAATTATTATTGTTTCACGGGAAAATCAAACAATAGTTTTCATTGTTAATAATTCTAAGAATACTACCTCTGTTACATATCTGCCATAAATACTGTATTTTGGCTTCAATCACACTGACTAAAACTTTCAGATTTTCAACAGACATCCTCTTCACTGTCTTCACTAAACGGCCGGTCAAGTGGCAGGCTCGTCTCGCTACTCCCCTGTTTGTAGTTCCTCCCTGAGAACCCAACATTTTGGTGACGAGGATGGGATCTAAGGTGTACTGTACTATACTGCATTATGCCATTAGCCGCTGTGATGGTGTATAATCTCCATTGGCGACCTAGCCGACAGGACCCCCTGTTTTACTGGATGTACCACCCATGTATGTATGACAATACATACAAGATGGAACACTGAAAGTCGTTCTCCATTATTTATTCGTCAGAGGGTTAGTTCAAGTGCTACAAATCAATCTTAAAGTGTAAGAATATTTCATGGTGTCAGAGTCATGGATCTTTCCGGAATCCCCACCTCATCTATGGACTGGTAAGTATCAAACCTGCCTGATGCGTGGCGGCGTTTTAAACAGCACATGCAACTGATATTCGACGGACCGCTGGCGGAAAAGTTGGAAGAATCGAAGTGCTCGTACCTCCTACTTTGGGTGGGAGAAAAAGGTAGAGATGTTTACAATACATGGACAGGCATTTCTGATGATGACAAAAAGTTACTTCAAACTTACTACACTCGTTTAACTGTTCAACTGGATGTACCACCAATGTATGTATGACAATAAATACAAGACGGAACACAGAATGTCGTTCTCCATTATTTATTCGTTGGAGGCAGCAACAGCCTAGGGCTAGTTCAAGTGCTACAAATCATTCTTAAAGCGTAAGAATATTGCAAAAGGTAGGTAAGAAATATATGTTAAGGAATTATGGTATGTTTATCTGGCTGTTTGACGGTACTTTGACGAGGTGTGTTCGTTGCAACGAGTGTGTTAGCCAAGAGCACGTGGTCTGCTTACATTTGTTTTCACCCTTCAGTGTGAAGTAGAAGCGGTATAGATGAGCACTGACTTTTATTTCGCTCTTCTTTATATATTATAACCGTCACTATCTTCAGCTCAGAGATTATGGCTACTTTGGGTTTCCTTTGTGGATTGTTTGAATATAATCCAAAGAAGTCGACATAGGAGAAATGGTGTGAGATATTGACACATGTTTTTGTGGCAAATGGAATTACAGACGAAGACAAACATAAAAGCATACTGTTAGAGTCATGTGGAACTGAGACTTACCAGTTGATAAGAGTATTGGTTCAGCTTGTGAAACCTAGTGAGAAAACATTTGACAAGCTGGTGGTTTTATTGAAGAACATTTCACGAAAGAAACCATCAGAAATTGTTCAGAGATTTAAATTCCATTCAAGGAATAGGAAGGCTGGTGAAAGTGTAGCTGCCTATGTCGCCGAATTGAGAAAGTTGACTGACGGGTGTGATTTAGGAACGTATTTGTTAGTGTGTGGTATTTGTGATAACAATATTCAGAAAAAAGTTGTTGTCAGAGACTGCTCTAACATTTAGTAGTGCATTGAAAATTGTTGACGCAATTGAGGCAGCAGACAAGAATCTACAGGATCTTCACGGTGATAAAACTGTTGGACTTTCGGTACACAAGTTTCACAGTATGCCATCAGCACAATGTACCATAGACCAGAGGCCTCATGTTGGCTCTGGAAATAACAAACCATGTTTTAGATGTGGAAAAACTACTCATGCTCCACATATGTGTTTTTATAAGAATGAGAAGTGTCATAAGTGTGGAAAACGTGGCCATGGGTAATGGTTCCAATCTTCTGGGTCGTACATGAGTACAGCCTTTGAACTTTGACCTGAGGGATGTTTCGGTGAACCTTATGAAATCTACAGATTTGACACTTAATGATGTTCTTGAACAACACTCAGCTGTTTTTGAGGAAGGTCTTGGAACACTTAAGGGTTTCAAAGCTACCATCTATGTGGATAAAGATGCAACTCCGATGTTTTTCAAACCTAGATCTGGGCTGTATGCATTACCTCAGAAGATAGAAGTTGAACTTCTTGAGTGAAGGCATTATTGAGCCAGTCAAGCATTCTTAGTGGGCGTGTCCCATAGTGCCAGTCCTTAAGCCTGATTCTTCTTTCAGGATTCGTGGAGATTTTAAACTGACAGTGAATCAGTTTTCCAAGTTGGAGCACTATCCAATACCGACGTTGGAAGATTTGTGCACGAAGATATCTGGACAAAAGTTCACCAAACTTGACATGAGTCATGCGTATCAACAGTTATTCTTGGAAGAAGAATTGTGAAAGTATGTCGTTATTAACACCCACAAAGGACTCTTCAGGCACACAAGATTGCCATTTGGAGTATCTTCGGATGATTGAAAGTATTCTACAGGGACTCAATTACTCAGCGGGTTATCTCGACGATATCATAAACTCTGGAATCGACGACAGTGAGCATCTTCATATTCTGGATGAAGTACTTCATCGATTGTCAGAAGCAGGATTACGTTTGAGAAGAAACAAGTATGTCTTTATGGCTAATGAAGTTGAATATCTTGGTTATAGACTGGACAACAAAGGTTTGCATCCAGTGGAGAAAAAGATTGCTGCAATTCAGGAAGCTAAGGTCCCTGAAAATGTGAAAGAACTGAGAGCTTATCTTGGTATTCTGAACTACTACCATAGATTTCTTCCAAATCTGCCTGACACTCTCTCCCCCTTGTACAAGTTGCTACAAAAAGAAGTGAAATGGTCATGGAGTACATCTCAACAAAAAGCGTATGAGAAATCGAAGAACTTGCTTCAGTCTTCGGATGTCTTGATTCATTTTGACAGCTCCAAGCCATGTTTACTGCAGTGTGATGCATCCCCCTACGGAGTAGGTGTTGTGTTGGCTCACCAACTGCCTGATGGTTTGGAGAGACCTATAAGTTTCGCTTCAAGGACACTGACTAAGGCGGAGCAGAATTATTCTCAGCTTGATCGTGAAGGACTGAGTGTGATCTGAGTGGACTGTGGACTGCGAAAGTTTCATAAGTATGTTTATGGACGTCATTTCCAGATTGGGACAGATCACAAGCTACTGGTGTCATTATTCCATGAGAATAATCCAGTGCCCCAGATGGTGTCTCCAAGTGTTCAGAGATGTCCAGGATTGTTGACTGCATATGACTATAAAATTTTACACAGGAAAGGTACACAGCATACCAATGCAGATGCATTGAGCAGGTTGCCAGCT